CACCTGAGCAATGCATGCGACTGGTTTACTTTTTCCCTGTGCCATTCCACATTATTACAAATAACTTCATTTCTGGACATTTATGGTTTGATTTCTTTGTATGTATGGATCACTTGGGTTGTTACCAACATCTGGTGAAAATTTCATGTCATTAGCACCTCTAGTAATTTATTTACTGAGAAAAATGGTGATGTGCTTAATACTTATTTTACCCACTATATATGACATTAAACCAGAAATAAGAGAAACACAGAAAACCCTTGGCCTACACCACGATTCCTCAACCCACCACCAAATTAAAACTATAAAGCCACGTTTTGCATTAAATACAATATCAAGTCTTTTTCTTGCTTGATACATGTAAACAAGTTATTCTCAATCCCGATCCTCAAAGACCTATATCCTGCATGTTTTAGTTGTTCCCTGCTTTGGCACACCTGATTTAAATGAATGAGTGATTGGCAGGCTTCTGCAGAACTTTTTAAAATTTATTTATTTTACAGTTATTTTACCAGGCAAGTCCCAATGAGATCTCAGATCTCTTTTTCAAGGGTGGCCTGGGCCTGAAGGCAACCTATTGTACATGTTTTTTTTTTTTTTTTTGGGTGGGGGGGAGGTGGCGGAAACCGGAGTACCTGGGGAAAACCCACGCAAGCACGAAGAGAACATGCAAACTCTGCACAGAAAGAACCCAGGTTCAAACCGGGGATTGAACCCAGGACCTTCTTGCTGTGGGGCATCGGTGCTAATCACTGAGCCGTCGTGAAGAGCAGGGGAACAAATAAAACAACTAAAACATGCAGGATAGGGTTCCTCAAGGACCAGGATTGAGAACCACTGACTCCATGTCCTTCTAGTTGGATTGACGTCAACCTTAATCTTTAAAATCAAGTTGTAGACTCTGTTGGATTGTAGTCTGGGCCATTCAAAAACAATTGGAGGATTGCCTTAGCTGTGTGTTTAGGGTCATTGGGCCTCATGCAAGAACCGTTCGTACGCACAGATTTGTTCTTAAGTTGTGTGTACGAGTGATTTAGGAGAATTTGTGGCATTCACAAATGTTTTCGTATTCCAAGATTTTTTTCAGATATGAACAAAATTCACGAGTGGTCCAGACCTGTCGTATATTTTACGAGCAGTCAGTCTGCTGTTATCCAGACGATTTTCCTCCCTAATAACTTTATATTTCATTAGTTTGAAGATATTTTGAGTTGAAATTAAATCACACTCTATGATTATCTTGACAATAGGCTATTCTGCTTGAATTAGAGTTGTAATTTTAAATGTAATAATTTAGACTAACAATATAAATTGTCCATCCGACCGTTTTCTACCGCTTATCCGGGAACGGGTCACGGGGCCTGTAGCAGAGAGATCCCGCTCTCCCTAGCGACACTTTCCAGCTCGTCCTGGGGGACTCCGAGACGTTCCCAGGCCAGAGGGGATACATAATCCCTCCAGCGAGTCCTGGATTTTCTCCAAAGTGCCAGACWTATTTTGAAAACATTTTAAAATGCCTATTTCAGAACTGCAGCTGAGACCACTTGCGGGGAGTGGGGGCGGTATGGTGCGGCGTGTGGTACGCAACGGTGTGGCTTCTGAATAAATGAAAATGATTTAACACATTTGTTTATACTTTCATCAGCTCATTTTATCCCACAGCTGACGCTACTAAAAATGACAGATTTTCTTTTCTGGATCTCTGACAGACGGACTTCAATCTCTGAACTCGTAAAGTTCTTCTTTTTAGTTTTTGCTGTCATTTTCATGAATGGACACTTCCTGATATCTGAGGCTGGAAACGTAACCTTATATGGTGTTTTTGAGGTGGTAATTATGCCAATCTGCTCTCGCGTGCACGAGGAGCTGGATACGAACAGGTGGAATTTACGCAGCTCATTTACACACTTTTCCTAAAGATAGAAGAGTTTGTTGAATCTGACGTGRCATGTTCGTACGAACCCTTTGTACGAACAAAAGTAAGAGAAATTTAGGATAAGAATACGAACATGTTCTTGCATGAGGCCCATTGTCTTGCAAGAAGGTAGACCTCTTTCCTGGTCTCAAATATCTGAAAGCCCTCATTAGATTTTCTTGTATTATTTGTTTTGTTACATCCATCTTTCCTTCAGCTCTGCCCATCCTCACATCATGATGCTGCCACCACCATGCCGAGGAGAATGGTATTCCCAACTAGACTGGTGGTATTAGGTTTGTGCCAGACATGGTGTGGTTCTTGATGGCTAGAAAGTTCAATTTTAGCATCATCTAATCACAGCCCCCTCTTTCCTGTATTTGATGAGATTTCACTTTGCCTGAGCTTTTTTTTTAATTATCTTTAAACAGTGGTTTCACCTGTCCACTCTTTTATGAAGCACACTAAGCTTTGTGGGAAGTTTAGGTTTTTTTTTAAAACAATTTTAAACTATTCTCTCCCAATTTTGTCATTGACCTGTGATGAGAGTTCCTTGGTGTTTATTGTATCTGTTGCTTGGTGGTAGCCTGCACTATTTATAGGTGTTTATTCTGGGGGCTATAGAAGAGATATGCATATACTGTACGTATTTTGAGATCATCTCACACGATTGTTCACAAGTAGCGCTAATTTAACTAATTTTACCAACTGAATGGAATGGTTGAAGCTTTAAAGCAAAGGGGGAAGATACATATGCACACATCAATTTTTTGGCTTTATATTTTTGTTTTAGAATTATATAAAATAAGTATTTTTACTCCATTCAACTTCATTATTTGGACATATTGTTGTAAACACATTAAAAATCCAAATAAATTCTAGGTTTTGTGGCATCTAAATAGAAAAATTACCATGGGGTGTATACTTTTGCAACCCACTGTCAGACTTGCCAGAACTTAAAGATGAACGCTGAATAAAACCTTAGTAGCTTGATTGATCATGTTTCTTTCTTACATGAAGACCCTTCTCCTCCACATTCTTTTTTTTTGTATTTTTTTTATTTTTTGCTGTTTTCATCTGATTGAGCTCTTTCTGTCACAGATTGACCCTGCTATCCTCCAGCAGACCCTCCAACAGGGAGGTCTCCTCTCACAACCCCTGAGCATAGACACCAGCTTGGTGTCCCACTCTGGCAGCCAGCTCATGTCTTCAGCTGACCCCTCTGTGTCTGCCAGCGTTGTCCTTCACCCTCTGACCAGCCTGGCACTGCAGCCGTCCACCATCACATCTCCACAGGTCTCAATAGCAGGGCTGTCAGAGCAGGATGCTTCAGGTATGTGAGGCAGCCTTTAAAAGTAAATCAACAGACCACTCTCTCTGTGAGCTCACTAACCATGCCTGGTAATGGACTGTGTAGTCACTCAGGACCTGCACCATGTCATGAGCAGCGGTGGGCTTGTGGCCGGAAGTAACAGCCAGGAGATCACTCTGACCATCAACAATTCCAGCCTGACACAAGCCCTGGCCCAGGTCCAGGCCCAGGCTTCAGCTGCCGGTTCCAGCACTGTTGCAGGAAACCCCCAGGAGATCACCCTCACCATATCAGGTATGGAAGGCTTGATATGGGTTCACCAAGTTTTCCCAAACACAGAGCTCTACAACAGACCATCATTAACAAACAAGCATATAAGGGAAAAATCCCTCAAGGACTGGTGTGTTTATTGATTTCTCACTCAGGAAAACACTCGCTGGCAAAGGAATAAAACTGAGAAGGAAATAAATCAAAGTTCTCTTTTTGTTTAAAGAGATGTCAAAATTTCAAATCAAAAAGTTGCCATAATGGAAGTTATAAATGAAAACAATTTTTCTCTCTCCATAAACATTATCAGGGTCTTTCCCAGCTGATTTTATCCCCTCTTCCATTCACAACGTAATGAAAACATATTTCTTCAATCTTTAAGCCTGCATGTTCAGATGGATGGGTTCTCTCTGAATGAGATGATGTGTGTTCTCAGGAGGCATACTCAGGTTTTATTGTTCAACAATCTGATTAACTTTATTGGAATTTTGATCCTTCAAACACAAGCTTTCAGGAACAATTTTGTTTTTATTTATACCTTCATATTTTTATTCCTTTTTGTGGAGCAATGAAGGCATTAAAAAATGACTAGACTGGTAATGTTTTACCTAAAGTTGAAAAAAGAGCAAAAGCTGATGAAATACCTAAGGTAACATGAATTTTAAGAGGATAGTTGATCCTTATTCTCCCTGTTATCAAAACATTTATTAAGTTGTATAATTTACTTTGATCCCCCCTGACTTTTTAGGATCACTTTCTGCTACAGTTAAAGCTGCAAGTCTTTCAGGGTTTTTCTCTACCCGTGTTGGCCTGTTCTTTAAGCTTTAAACTCAGTCAGACTGGATTGAGAGCATCTGTGACAAAGTATTTTCAAGTTTTGCCACAGTCTGGACTTTAACTGGACCATTCTTGTGATGATCAGGTGTAATTATGGTAACTATCAGGTGTCAGAACTGCAATCTGGCAAATAGGAAGTAGGTAGAGGAACCAGATATCAAGAACTTTATCCCTGACCTGTGAAGGGGTGTTCCTTGGTCTTTGTGATGCTGTTTCATCACTAATACAATATTAGAGCTTGGATGTTCACAGAACTGCTGAATCTATACTGAGCTTAAAGCACACACAGGTGAACCATTCTTACAAATGATACGACTTCTAAAGGCCAGTGGTTGCTTTGCTTTTAAGTTCAGGGAGTGAAGGTGGCTAAACACAAATGAACACTTTATAAAGAAATGTAAAACCACATAATTGTTTTTATTCCACTTCATAATTAAGCACTACTTTGTGTGGATCTATCACAGAAAATCCCCAATCCCTTGAAGTTTTTCAGTGTAACATGATAAAATGTGGAGTGTAATGGTAGAGATATTATTCAATACATCTTTGATTTGACAAGTTAAACATTTTTAGTCAAATTTTATTCACCCAGATTTTTACCTTTGTCAACAAACAAAAACTGTAAGCAGCAAATGTTAAGCTCTTATCACTTTTTCTTGTATATAGAAGTATAAAAGAAATTGGAAAATGTTTTTTTCCCCTGTCTTCCATAATTCTTTCTTTGTCCCCCTTCACAAAGCAAACAGAATATTTGGAAATACACTTTGTCAGTTTCTTTATCTGTCCATCCAGTTTATCCTTTGCTGGATAACTTGATAAATAAGTGAGGTACCAACTTCTGTTTTGGTGTGTGACTGCATTAAGGCATGCGCCCACCCGCACAGACGCACACAGGTGAATGTAGGATACAGGAAGTTTTGACAAAGAAGACAATTAATTATTTTATTTTTGTAATAATAAATGGTGAAAAATCAATAAAAAGTCGAATGATTTAATAAAACATTTTATAACTCAAAGGAAAATCTCAAGGTACACACAATTTGTACAGCCGTAGAGCTGCAGGCGCCACTGGCTTCTGGCACCCACCTCCCACACAGTTCCACTCGATTCTAATCTCCCTTCTCTGGTCCGTCTGGGTTTTCTCCCACTGACATGGATTTCTCTGGTAGAATTTCAACCAGACCAATCAGAGAACAGAAAAAGGAGTTGTGAACAACGACGTTGATTTTCTGCGCCTTTTTAGTCTGCCTGTAGTGTAGCAGTGGCAGCAGAAGAAGTGAGTGAAGTCATTCAGCCTGTGTTGGCAAGGCTTCCAAATTAAATTAAATTTATCTCACAAAGCCTACAGCTCTCATTTACAGCTATATGTCGTATGGCTTGGTAATTCTCTCTTCCCAGTAGGGGATGTTTTTTACATTGCACACGATTTCTGGTTAGCTTCTTAGCTTAGCTTCCTTCACGATTGAGTTGGTGCGCTACATATGCCAAACGTTAGCAATTGGGTAAATCAGATCCAATCATTTTAAACTTCAACAGCAAGAAATCCTTTCTCAATAGCCGAGAGTCCAGACCCTCTGTACGAAGCAAAGTGATGAACAAGGGCTAGTTTTTACCAGGCTAACCGCCACCTGAAATGGGAGTATTGGGCCTCATGCAAGAACCGTTCGTACGCACAGATTTGTTCTTAAGTTGTGCGTACGAGTGATTTAGGAGAATTTGTGGCATTCACCAATG